AATGATGGAAGCAGAGGTTGGAATGATGGAAGCAGAGGTTGGAATGAGGGAAGCAGAGGTTGAAATGATGGAAGCAGAGGTTGGAATGATGGAAGCAGAGGTTGGAATGATGGAAGCAGAGGTTGGAACGAGGGAAGCAGAAGTTGGAACGAGGGAAGAGGTTGGAATGAGGGAAGCAGAGGATGGAATGATGGAAGTAGAGGTTGGAGTGATTTAAGCAGAGGTTGGAATGAGGGAAGCAGAGGTTGCAATGATGTGCTTTGAAGATGGAAAGAGAGGCATGAGCCAAAGAATGCCTGCAGCCTCTGGAAACTGGAAGAGGCAAAACAAACAAAAGACAGATTCTGTGCCGGGTTTTCCAGAGGGAGTGAAGCTCGGCTGACACCTTGATTTTAGTCCTCTAAGAGCCATTTCAGATTTCTGACCCCTAGAAATGTATCTGTGTTGTTTACAGCCACCAAATTCTGGTAATTTGTTGCAGCAGCATGAGAAAGCCAATACAAGGAGGAGAGCTAGCTAAGTGGATTTCTTCACTGGGTGAGACCTGGCTGTGGATGAAGGAGGGAGCAGCAGGGGAGAAACGGGAAAGGACCAATGCAAAAAGACCCTTGGAGAATGGGCAAAATGAAAAGTCAGAGCCGACTTCTGCACTTCTGCTGTCACAGGCATGATTTGAAAGGTCAGGCGAATTCTGTTTAGGGCATAAAATTTTAAAGTTTTAGAAAAGAGGTGGTGATTTCTTAAATTAATGACAGAACGTGGCATTTACGTGCAGGTTTTCAGATTCAAAACCCTCCCAAGTGATCTCATAATCATTGTTGCTTCCAGATGGTCCCCCGCAGATGCCCTCCTTCACTTTCCAAAACTGAAGAATGCCCAGCAAACATCTCAGAGTTTTGCATCCCAGGGTGTTAAAGGCTCCATGTTAAAGGCTCTGCTTTTGCTTGGGAGCTAAGAAATATTTGTAACCAAACAAACGTTTGATAGCTGGGGTCTTCCCTGAAAAAAATGATTTGCCCAAGACCATAGAAAAGTGTTGGAGCAGAAAAAAGAAATTGAGTATTACGACTTGCTATCAGGCTTGGATGAGAATCTCTAGGCTAAAAATAAACTATCTGCAGGTCAGCTCATTCTGTTATGACCCCAAACTTCTTAGGAAACAGTAATGCTAAAACTATTTCTCAAAGACATAGCAAATTAAAGGAATGTCATGCCAAACAGGGGACAAAAGATCAGATGGCCAGAAAAGGACTTCAAAGCCATGTAAGAATTATAAAACAATCTTTTGTTTGAAAAAGTGAATTAGGAGAGCTACAGAATTTTTTGACACTTGATTTTGTTTATTTATTTTAAAGCAGAAAATTACTTTATAAGGCAAAGGAGATTCAGGAATTGCATCTCCACAAATTCCAAAAAACAAGAAGAATAAGATGTCTATCTTCTAGGCATGGGTATAGGAAGTCACTGCCCACCCACAGGTGAGTAGACATGATCAGAGCATTTCAACTTTGGCAGCTAATAGTTTTGAAATCCTTTTCTCTAGCTAGAGAGCTTTAAAAACAACAACAACAACAACAACAAAAAACAAGACAAAAAAACACTGATGCCCAGGCCCCAAATCCTGATATTCTAATACAATTGGCTAAGAGACAGGACTAGATGGAGCCTAAAGTCCCTTGAAAATGTAAAAATGCCTTGATTAACAGTAATTTATAACTAGGATCAAAGATTTAGTCGGCTGATTCTTTAACATATTTTATTTAGCAATCATTTATTGTGTACACACTGTGCAGCTCTGCTCTTAAAAAACTCAACTCTAGGTCGGGCACAGTGGCTTACTCCTATAATCCAAGCACTTTGGGAGGCCGAGGCAGGTGGATCACGAGGTCAAGAAATTGAGACCATCCTGGCCAACATGGTAAAACCCCATCTCTATTAAAAATACAAAAATTAGCTGGGCATGGCGACAGGTGCCTGTAGTCCCAGCTACTCAGGAGGCTGAGGCAGGAGAATCACTTGAACTCGGGAGGCAGAGGTTGCAGTGAGCCAAGATCGTGCCACTGCACTATAGCCTGGTAACAGAGAGAGACTCCATCTCAAAAAAAAAAAAAAAAAAACATAAAACAAAACTTCACTCTAGTAGGGAAGTGGGCCTTTAAACAATAAGAATTCTTAATTCTCACACTGTGTAACAGGTACCAGCAAAGGATCATGTTTAACTTAAAGAGGTAGTAGAGAGGGAGGAGAGGTTAAATTAATTCAGGGGTGTGGTGGGTAGATGTAAAGGTAAGATAAGAGAAGGCTCTGGTCCTAGCTGAGTTGGAAAGCTAACCAGAGTTTGCCAGGTTGTCAAGCAAAAAGAACATTTCCCGACTCAGGGAAACTGTGTGGAAAGTCACAGGCAGGCATGGCATGCTCAGAAGGTGATCAATAATATCACTGGAAGGTAACATTTAGGGGATGAAGCAGGGGAGAAACCTGCTGAGAATTGGCAGAAGTGGGGGATGGGAGGTGAAACTGCAGAGTAGGCTGGCCCTGGGGATCCTAGGAGACCTGTCAACCTTCAGGCCTTGGAAGGCACCTCCTGGAGCTGATGGACATGGAGTGGAGGGGTCTGAGAGCTGGGATATGATCAGATTTGCTTTTTTGCAGGAACCCTCTGGCAGGCCTGGGGAAGATAGGCCTAGGAAGAGTGGGACAAAAAGCAAGGAGATGAGTAAGGAGGATGCAAGAGAAAGACAAACTGAAGTGCAAGATAGGAAAGGATAGATTTAAAAGAAATTGAGATGGCAGAATGAACAAGATCTGGCCAAAAAATGACAGATACAAAGGAGGCAGGGAGTCTCCATTGACTTCCAGGTTTTTAATTTAACGAGCCAGATGGCTTGTAACACCCATCAATCATAGAACATTGCACCACAATTTATTTTATAGAATCATAGAGTTATACAGGAGCAGATATCTTGAGGCTTAACTCTGTACCATATAAAGTGAACCATGCTTCTGCAGGTCACCCCAGCCTTTAAATGTATGGTTGTGGGGGCTGGAGTGTGGGGTGTGTGTAGGTGTGCAGAGTGGAATATGGGTTGAAGCAATGAACTTTTGCTCTGGATTCCATTAGCTAAAGCAATTGCTGCCCTCAAATCATTCCATACGGTTAAACGGTCCATGGGGTTTTTCTAATGAGGCTTGAGATAGTGCAATTACCCTTGTTTTCTTCTGGTCAATATTTTTATATCCCTCCTGGACTTGGATGGTGCTTTACTGCTGAGCCAAGGTTACAAATGGCTGCACCTACCCAGAATTGTGGCTACTTCTTGCTCTGCTCAATCAGTTATCCTGCCCAAGTGGGGCAACAACTCTTCTTCTACTTGTCCATCAGTCCACAACAGAACCTTGCATTCACAGCCTCTTCTCCACTGGTGCCTGAATCAATCATTTGACTTGTGTTTCAGTCCATTGTCACGCCCTCTCTAATTACCCAATGCAAGAAGGAGGACCATAAAATGGGGTGGAAAGATACAAAATTGGACTGTACCCTAACACTGTCCCCATTTTCAGTCTAAGCCTGTTTCCCTTTACTCCCTCCTTCTTCCCTGGTGCCAGTCACTTCTCCATCTATATATTGTCCTGGAGATGAAGGAGCAGTCCCTGGTCTCCACTTACTTAGAGGCTTAGCCCTGGAGACTTCCACAGGATCCAACCACTGTCCACATGAGGCTTCTCAGGGCCTTCCTGCAAATAAAACCCTGGTGCATCCCGAATTCACCAAGAGTATGAGTTTAGGCCTTCCCTCTTGCCCCTCATTTTAATTTTGCAGAGATTTCAGGCAAGATTGCTAGAATTTAAACATGTGTCTTCTGTCTAATATAGAAATTATTCTTTTTGAGGCCAGTTGAGATGGTTCATCCTGTAACCCTAGCACTTTGGGAGGCTGTGGAGTGAGGATTGCTTGAGGCCAGAAGTTTGAGACCAGTTTGGGCAACACAGGGAGACCCCTGTCTCTACAAAAAATTTAAAAATTAGCCAGATACGCAGTGCACCTGCAGTCCCAGCTACTCGGGAGAGTGAAATGGGAAGATCACCTGAGCTTGGAAATTCAAGGCTGCAGTGAGCTGTGATAGCACCACAGCACTCCAGCCTGGGTGACAGAGCGAGGAGGCCCTGTCTCTTAAAAAAGAATGAAAGAAATTATTCAGTTTTAATTGTCACATAGATCTGGAAAAACAGGTTCTTCCAGTATGTCAAGGCAATGTAAATCATTTCCAATTTACTTCTATGCTCAGACCAAAGGCGTGGGGTTTCTATTAGTTTCCTTGGATTGTTGTAACACATTACCACAAACTGGGTGGCTTAAAACAGCACACAGTTGTTCTTTCACAGTTCTGGAGGCCAGAGTCTGAAATCAAAGTGTCAGCAGGGTGAGTTCCTTCTGGAGGCTCTGAGGAAGAATTCGTTCCATGGCTGTCTTCTCAGTTCTTGTGGTTGCTAGCAACCCTGTCATTCCTTGGCTTGTGGCAACATAACTCCAATGTCAGCCTTCGCCTTCACATGGCCTTCCAGGTGTCCCTGTGTTACATTTCCCTTTTGTTTCCCTTAGAAGCACACCAGTCATCAGGTGTAGGACTCACCCATCCACATTTAGGATGATCTCAGCTTAAAATCCTTGCCTTCATCACACCTGCAAGATCCTATTTCCAAAGAAAGTCACATGCACAGTTGCAGGAGATTATAACTTTGATCTATCTTTTTGAAGCCACTGTTCAGTTGATTAGAGGGCCCAGCATTATCTCTGCTTTGGTTGTTCCACCAAGGTGGCGACTTAGAAAAAATATTTATCTGATAATTGGGGCTGTTTGAAATAAACTGGGAAATGGCTCCCTTCTGAATTTAAGGTTGGGAAGATCATATTTAGTGTTCTGAAGAGTACTTAGTATTAATGAAGGTATAGACACACACACACACACACTCTTTCTAAAATAATACTATTGTAATTTTCTGCTTTAAATAAACCTCCCATTTTCTGAGGTGAATTTCCCTCTCAGTTTTCCACAAGCCACTCTATCCTATCCTAATACTTTTCCCCTAGAATTTGATAAATGATTTACCTTTTCAAATAGTGTCTCCTACATGTATTCCTCAAGGCACAGGTAGCCCTGGCATAGGAAATGCCTCTTCTCAGCATGTTTCTTCTCTGAATTTGACAGTGAAAGGATTTCTGATCATCTCCACCCTCTTGCCGGCTCCAGCCAGGGTCACGTGCTCTTCCTGCTCCGCGGTCAGCAGGAAATGGCTGCTGGGATGCTGGAGCTGTTTAGAGAGGTGTGGTTAGTTCTCATGCCCCCTGTCCCACAGGCTTTGCCATTTGGCAAACTTAGAACATTGCTTGTGAATATAAGTTTCCACTTAGTATCTGAGAAAGATTCCTACTCACATCATGCGTATCGATGGCTTGGATCCTCTTTAGAAAATAAGACTTGGAGATAAGATCTATTGCCCTTCTCAAGCACCTCCAGAGCAGAAACCAAACACTCACTCCTAGAAAAGAATGTAAAATAAGACTTTCCTTGGCCAAGACTCTCCTCATCTCTCTCTAAAGTTAACAGAGACAAGACACAAATCCTCACTGAGGAAACAAAGTCTTCTGAGAGAAAGAAGGAAGATGTGGAGGTCAGACAGAGACAGCTGGCAAAGATGCCAGCCCTGTTGCCAAGAACACCTGCCCTGTTTACCACAAGGGAGCAGAGGCCAACATGAAGATGACATTTCCAGTTCCTGTTCCTTTTCCCTAATGCTCCTACCTGCTTTGAGTTAGGTAATGCCAATGTCTAGGAAAAAAATATTGACTGAATCCCAGTGGAGAGTCCTTTGGCCTCAGTGGTGACACTTACAAGAAGTCCACTTTAGATACCTTCAGAATTGTTTGGGCAGCAGCTTGGGGTTGGCTTTGGGAAAAATTAAATCTGTGAGACTGAGTTAAAGAGAAAATGGAACTAGCTTCCCAGGAATAATGCAAGATATGGGACTTTGCAAAAAGGGTGAGACCTGAAAGGGAGATGGAACAATTTATATAAAGAGGTACAGTACCCCCTGCATTCATTGAACTGAAGCAGCTGCAAATGAGGCGTGTTTACCTCCTTAAATGAAGGTGGTGAGATGCTCCTTATCCTTATGCGAATGAAACAACAGCAGTAACCTAAATATGTATTTAACTTCCCGGAAAAGTGGCTAAAAAATTAGTGACAAATTGTTAAAAACTCCTTTTCCTGCCTGAGTTTGCCTAGAGGAAGGAAGTGCAATATCACAATATGATCTACTGCCTGCTGTCTTCTGGAAAATAGGCCCTCAATGTGGAAAAGATTTGAACAGCCCAGGGATAATGGAATTTATCCATCCATCCACCCACCCACTCATGCATCCATCCACCCATCCATCTGTCCATTCATCCATCCAGCCAGCCATCCATCCATGCATCCATCCATTCATCCACACAGCCATCCATTCACCATTCTACAAACACATTGAATATCTATGATATGTTAGGCACTGTAAGGCATGTAAGTATGAATAAGACATGGTGCTGAAATCACATGTCTTCCACCCTCAGGATCCTGTGACACTGTAGTTTTCTCGATTAGATGATAAATCTACAAATCTTCCTTTAGCCACAGTAAACAGCTGACTACCAGAGAAAGATGTATCTGAAGTCAAAAAGTTACTGTTCAAATCCCAGCCCCATCACGAGTTGTGTGATTGTGGATAAATTAATTCAACTCTCTGGGCCATAGTTTCCTCATTTGTGAGAAATTATTCCAACTCCAGGAAGTTATTATATGGAATAAATAAAATACATAAAACTTCTAGGTATAGTAGTTCTCTTTTCTTATTTTTTTATGGGAAAATCTTTCCCTCTACCAGGAATGTGGCATTCATCTTTAAAATAGTTGGTGTTTATAACTTTAGTTTGAGGCTCATAAAGAAAGGAATTTGATTGTATACCCCAAGTCAGGCTTACCTGGCAGGTCTCCTAGTTTTTTTCACAATAGCTCTCTTCCAGGATTCTTGGAATGTCCAAGTTTAAAGAGGTTTCAAAGCTCTCAATCAGCCTCCTGCTTCATGCCAAGTCAACTTGGGTTTCTCTTCTTAACGGTGCTGAATCTCCTTGTGTATTTTGGTTTTAGTGCATGCTAGTGCACTGAGGACTGCCAAAGGGGCCATCATTGCTCTTACTCATGCTTAAATATTTGCTCACTCAGCCTACAGACTCAGACTCAGTGACACATGCCAGGGAGCCACACACATTTCTCAAGTATGTGAGTCAAAGGCTAGTATTTATTTATTGTTGGGTCAGACGCAAACTATTTATAAACTTAATTTAGTTTTGTGGGTTTTTTTTTTTAATCCTAAAGTCTCTTCAACCAAAACTCTAGAATCAGAAAACATTTAATTCTAAATTATCCTGTCGTTTTGTTTTGTTTTGTTTTTTAAAGAAACAGGGTCTTGCTCTGTTACCCAGGCTGGAGTGCAGTGGAATGATCATAGCTCACTGCAGCCTTGAACTCCTGGGCTCAAGTGATCCTCCCACTTCAGCCTCCCAAGTAGCTGGGACTACCACCACCACACCTGGTTAATTTTACTTTTATTTTTGTATAAATGGGGTCTCGCTATATTGCCTAGTGTGGTCTCACACTCCTGGCCTCAAGCAGTCCTCTGAAAGTGCTGGGATTACAGGTGTGAGCTACTGTGCCCAGCTTAAATGATCTTCATTATTCAAAAATGAATTTATGGATCTTATGAAAAATAAGATGAATATTGGTAAATGTCATTTCAGCAAAAATGGGAAATATCAAGAGAAGAAGAAATTCTACAATGTGTTGATAATTTCACAGAGATTACATTAGGCAAATTGTAGATCCTTTAAATATCTTGCTCCACCAATCTTTCCTGCAGACTGCTGGTGCCCTTTATTAGCTCTGTAATCATGGGCAAATACTCCTTCAGTATTTTATTTTTCCCATTTGTAACATGGGGACAATAATACCTACATTCAGAATGGTTGTAAGATCACAGATAATGCCTATAAAAGATGTAGCAGAAAGCCTGGCACATGACACTCAATAAACACTATATTACAGGCATACCTTATTTTATTGCACTTTGCTTTATTGCACTTTGCAGATTTTGTGTGTCTTTACAAATTGAAGGTTTCTGGCAACCCTGCATTGAGCCAAGTCTATCAGCAACATTTTTTTCCAACAGCATGTGTTCACTGTGTTGCATTTTGGTAATTCTCACAATATTTCTAACTCTTTCATTATTATTGTATCTGTTATGGTGATATATATTGTATCTGATTGGTGATATCGATGTTACTGATGTAATTGTTCTGGGGCTCCATGAACCATGCCCGTATAGGACAGCAAAGTTAATCAATAACTGTTGTGTATGTTCTGACTGCTCCACTGACCAACTGTTCCATCTCTCCCCAACTCCCTGGGCCTCCCTATTCGCTGAGACACAACAATATTGAAATGAAGTCAAAATGGTCTCTAAGTATTCAAGTGAAAGGGAGAGTTTGCATGTTTCTCTCTTTAAATCAAAAGCTAGAAATGTTAAGCTGAGTGAGGAAGGCACAACAAAAGCCAAGGTAAGCTGAAAGCTAGGACTCTTGAACCACAGCTGGCCAAGTTGTGAATGCAAAGGAAACATTTTAAAAAATATTAAAAGTGTTACTCAAATGAGCACATGAATAATAAAGTTAAACAGCATTATTGCTGATATAGAAAGGGTTTGATTGGTATAGCTGGAAGACTAAATGAGCCACAGCATTTAATGAAGCTAAAGGCTAATCCAGAGTAAGGGCCTTACTCTCTTCAATTCTGTGAAGGCTGAGAGAAGTGAGAAAGCTGCAGAAGAAAAGTTTGAAGCTAGCAGAGGTTGGTTCATGAGGTTTAGGAAATAAGTCATCTTCATAACATAAAAGTGCAAGGTAAAGTCCTGATGTAGAAGCTACAGCAAGTTACCTAAAAGATCTATCTATGATAATTGATGCAGGTGGCTTCACTAAACAATGGCTTTTTGGTGTAGACAAAACAGCCTTCTATAGGAAGAAGATGCCATCCAAGACTTTCATCACTAGAGAGGAAAAGTTAACACTGGCTCCAAAGGACAAGCTGACTCTTGTTAGAGGCTAATGCAGCTGGTGATTTTAAGTGGAAGGCAATGCTAATTTGCCATTCTAAAAATCCTAGGGTCCTTCAGAATTATGCTAAGTCTACTTTCCCTGTGTTCTATAAATGGAACGGTAAAGCTTGGTTGACAGCACATCTGTTTGCAGCATGATTTACTGAATATTTTAAACCCACTGTTGAGATCTACTGCTCAGAAAAAAAAGATTCCTTTCAAAATATTACCACTCATTGACAATGTACCTGGCCCCTTAAGAACGCTAATGGAGATGTACAAGGAGATTAATGTTATTTTCCTGCATGAACATAACATTTATTCTGCAGCCCATAGATAAATAAGTAATTTCAACTTTCAAGTCTTACTGTTTAAGAAACACATTTTGTAAGCCTATAGCTGCTACAGTGATCCCTCTGATGGATTTGGGCAAAGTGAATAAAAACCTTCTGGAAAGGATTCACTACTCTAGATGCCAATTAGAACATCTCTGATTCATGGGTCAAAGTATCAACTTTAACAGAAATTTGGAAGTTGATTTCAACCCTCATGAATGACTTGGTGGGGTTCCAGTGGAGGAATTAACTGCAAATGTGGTGAAAGTAGCAAGAGAATTAGAGTTAGAACTGGAGGCTAAAGATTGACTGAATTGCCACAATCTCTTGATCAATGGATGAGGAGTTTGATAAGCAAAGAAAGTAGTTTCTTTAGTTAAAACTTAGCCCTGGTGATGATGCTGTCAACATTGTTGAAATGACAACAAAGGATTTAGAACACTACATCAACTTAGTTGATAAAAGCAGCAGCAGGGTTTGAGAGAATTGACTCCAGTTTTGAAAGACGTTCTGTTGCTATCAAACAGCATCTCATGCTACACGAAAGTCTTTTGTGAAAAGAATAGTCAATTGATGCAGCAAACTTCATTGCCGTCTTATTTTAAGAAATTACCACAGCCACCCCAACCTTCAACAACCATTGTGCTGATCAGTCAGCAGCCATTGACATGGAGGCCAGACCCTCTACCCGCAAAAGGATTAGGACTTGCTTAGGGCTGAGATGATTGTTAACAGGTTTTAGCAACAAAGTATTTTAAATTAAGGTAAGCACATTTTTAGATATAATGGTATTGCACACTTAATACTGTATAGCATAATGTAAATATAACTTTTATATTGACTGGAACACAAAAAATTTATGTGACTCACTTTATTGCAATATTCTCTTTATTGCAGCGGTCTGGAACCAAACTTGCAATATTTCCAAAGTACGACTGTATTATTATTTATTTTCCAAACTTATTTCTGTCTGCCTTTATGTGTTGCTGTGTCTCAAAGGTGAAGGCTTTTATAGGTCAAAATGTCATTCATATGCGG